TCTTTTTATGCCCTCCTTCGAAGAAGGGAAGGCATATTGCTTTGCTGATGTCTGTCGGTCCACTATCAGTTTCCATTCATTTTCTTCGCAGAGGTTGCACATTTTCAAAATTAAATTTGGTATACATGAAGATTCATCATAAGAATAGCTAAGTCAAGTTTTGTTTAGGTATGATCGCGTAGTCTACATGTCTGCTAAGTTATATTGAAATCAGACCGAAACTGTAGGAGGAGTAGCATTTCGAAAAAATGTTTACAGACAGACACCTTACTATGTATCGCATAGGCTTTTCTAGCTTCTGGCCAGGTTTTGAAAACATAGAGGAATGAAATGAAATGCTCCATGAATGCTTTTATCAATTCACACTTTTTAAAATTAAATTTATCATAATAACACATTTCAACAGCAATTTTTTTTTTCAAAAAATGCAGCTCATATTGCTTTAATAGCGCGCGCTGATCGAGACTACAAGCTCTTAAATCAACACCTGGGGGAAGAATGTATTTGACCATTGTCCCAAAGTATAATGTTTTTGCAGTTACCTGTGGTCATATAATCCATAGAGAAATGCATCTCACGGCAAACTACAATGTACGTTCTCGATTTTAAACGATATAGAGCAAAAAAAATTTGTGTCACCTGCAGAGCAAAGGGGCACTAAGGGATCATATTACTCGGCGTTTGTCCGTCTGTCTGTCAAACCTTACATCTTCAGAACTAGTACTGTTAGAGGTACGTATTTGATATTTTGCACATATCTTGGCACTGTGGACCTTTTGCATGGCCATCGTTTCCGACCTTAATAAAGTTTTCCTTGAACTTGACCTACTACTTGAAACAGCTGATAGTAGAGATAGACAACTTCTCTTTGACATTTAAGAGGTAAGGCTATGCTGTTTAGAATGTACACTGTTTATTATTTTAAAAAATCCAGAGACACTAGCTTGACAGTTCACTTGACCTTGACCTACTTTGCCAAATACACTCCAGAGGGTTAAGGTAAACTGTCTTTTGAATTTAGAGAGGCAGGAATTTGATGATTTGCATTTATACATGTTTTATGAGCTGATGACAATGCAATTTGACACTGAATGTAATACAGTAACCACTAAAACTTAGGGGGGGGGAATTTTTCCAATATGAACTTCTTTCAATACCATTTTTTTTTTTGCATACAATATAACAGTATCCTTATATCGATGTACTGTAGCAAAAAGTGGTGGAGGGGGCAGCCAGCCTTTCCAAGAATATTTTCAATAGTTAAACTTTGCGAAAAAAGGGGGGGGGGTGGCCCCCTGTTGCTTAGTGCCAGGGTATGCTTCTTGGTTTTAATGAAATCTGAAATTCTTATTTTCTATCTCGTTTGGTAACTTTCGACCACTTCCGATTGAACGGGAAAAGCTGCAACCAGACATGGCTTGTTTGGCAGATATTGAATTACAATTGAATAAAAAAATCGAAATATGTCCAAAGGACTTGAATGCCCCGCCAAATATACATTAGTGATTCCGCATGAAAATTTTTATATAATATATAAACAGCAATTTGTCTCGATCAGTATGAGTGAAAATGTTCAAGAGGGACGTTTAACAATAAACCATGACAGAAGCTAATTATAACCCGTTTAAGGGATTTTCCTGCTGATCGGAATAGCTGCGGAACTGTGGCTGTCCAAAAAATATATTGTCGGAGTGGATAGCTTCAGTGCCATCCATTGAAAAAATATATTTATTGCGAACAAAAAGTCCGCTGTTTCTTGATTTATTTCTCAATGTTTTTAAAATTGTCATCTCAAAATAATGTGTCACTTACCAAATGTCCCCAACATATTATTTCACTATTTCTACAACAGAACATTCCAAATAATTGTTAATAACCCTCCAGCCTTGAAATGAGATCTAAAAATTTCGTCTATTTAAGGTCTTCCGTCTTCACGGAAGACCTTATAGTGATTCAACTGTTTCTTATTATTATTATTTTTATTATTACTATTCTTTTTATTATTTTTTTGACTTTCTAATTTTTTGCACGCGATTTCTCGAAGACTACTGAATGGAATGACGTGAAATTTTCAGAAAAGATGTGTCGTAACATGAATTTTGTATATCCGAGAGAAAATTTGAAAACTCACTTCCGGTGCCAAGTTACGGACAATTTCCTGAAATAAAATTGACATTTTGTCCACGATTAAACTCAAAAACGGTAAAAGATATCAACATGAAACTTTCAGGGATTATAGATCGTGATATATACTATCCAGGACGCGACTTTATGTTCGTCGTCGGTACTTCCTGTCGTTAGGTGAAGGGGATTGAAAAAATCGCATTTTCTAACTTTTATGTTTTTCAATATTTTTTATTTATTTTTGGAATATTAATAGAGACCCTTCTATTGATGCTTACTATATAAGTTGTTTGAATATTGGTTAATCTGAACTCTAGATATTAATATTTGAAAATCTGAAGCGGGTCCAAGATGGCGTCTGCCTCTGTCAACTCCGCCATTTCGCGAGTAGGGGTTTATGGCGGCAGCTGAGCGTTTGATTAAACCATTCTGACATAAGGATACATGAAATGTTAAAAACTACTTGGAATTCCACGTAGAAGTACGTTGTAATTACGTGTCAATCTTAAAACTTAATTTCCGTTTCACTGCTTTATTTTAACTGGGCTAGATACGATATGTAATGTGTACAATGTGTGAAATATACCTTCTTAACGTCGAAATAAAATAAAGGCGATAAGGACGTTTTATTTATTTAATTTCATTGAAGCTATGACACCTTTTTAATAGATCAGTCCAAAGAAAAGGCGCAAATATTTACTCATGGCGTTTGGCGCGAAATTATGAATAGTGGCCGGCGTTTTATAATTCTTAGACAGGTGTACTGTTGCAAATGTATACACAATTATATTTAGAGCAGTGCTCCCAATAGCTTAATGGTTTTCGTGTTAATAGATCACGTAGTAATTACGTTACAATTCTGTGTCAAACTAAAGATTTATTCCAGGGTCTTCTCAAACGTCTTCTGTAACTGGGTTTGGTTGGTTCTCAAAGTAGAAAAAGAAAAGACTAAATGTGCAAATGAGAGATACCTATCATCATTTGCTTTGCAAGACGGAAAAACAGACCTTAAATCATAGTTAAAAGTTATAGTTTTTCAAGAAACAGTATCGATGCATGTATATAGTAAGTATAAAACGTATAACCACTGTTTTTCCATGCACGCTTGTGTGATATTAAACGAATAGAAAAGACAAAAATAAGAAAACCATTTTAATAAGATCGTCTAATGTAGTTTAAATTAACATTCTTTTCTCAAAGATCTGAATCAAGTTATTGAACATAAATGGTATCTGATTCCTTGACTGTCGTAGAGCGAGGCATGTTTTTCGGCGAAACATTTCAACCTTTTTATGAAAGTGAATGTGTACAGTGTGTTAAATATATTTTCTAAACCTCGAAATGTAGGCTATGAGAACGTTCTTTTTTCTTAATTTCGTTGAAGCTATCACACCTATTTAATAGATCAGTCCAAAGAAAAGACGCGAAGATTTAACGTGGCATTTGGCGCGAAGTTATGAATAATGGCCCGTCTTTTATAATTCTTAGACAGGTGTACTGTAGCAAAAGTATACACAAGTACATTCAGAGCAGTACTCCCAATAGCGCAATGGTTAGTGCGTTGGGGATAAAAGGAGAAAAAAGCGGATTGGATTTTCACGCTGGCGACCTGGATTCAATTCGTGCCCAAATTTTTTTTATCACTTCTCAGCTCGACTTGACGAGTTTTTTTTCCAGATTCGGACGGAAGACCTCTCGTTGCTCGCAACGAGTTCGTTTCTAGTTATACTGCTATTTTGTTTGCAAGATTATTTGCTCAAACGCACTTCTTACAGATGTCAACTACGAGAGAACTTGTGTAAGGGCAGGTGTTGGCTCAATAAAAATCCCTCACTGCTCAATGATTATGAGTGACAAGTCCGTAAAGGACTTAAATGATGACGTTTCTATATGCGTGAAAAATTCTCAAATGGTTTGTTCAACACATACAATGTATATAATCATTGTAAGATAGGTTTCCCTCAAAGTTATCAACTGTTAAGATTAGGGATGTCAAAATTGTCAATAATTGATATTCGAATATTCGATGGAAGTATTCGAATATATTCGAATATTCGATAAGATAAATACATCTTGCACATGTATCTTCACTCTCCTGTCAAGAAGTATAGGTTTTGTGGCATTATTTTGGAATAAAACTCGTGTAGAGCTTGGTAAATGCACTGCAATTATATTGCTTTTTTTAAATTATTGAATATTATATAATTTATATCAAAAATGTAATGATTGTTTTTTGAAAATTCAAAGGTTCTTTAATTAGTATGTTCCAGATAAATTGATCGTCTTACTAAAGTCTGCACCGATAACTCCTACAAACTTATACCAAGCAGAACAATTACATGTATCTAACGGTGAAATATCAAAAGCAAATACTTTTTGCTAATTATAATTTCCTGATAATGATTTTAACGATATTTACATAAAGAAAGGATCCGTGTGTTTACTGTAAAACTGTGTCCTTACAACAATACAAGATGATTGTAGGTACTGGATACTATTATACCACTAATTAAGTGAACAAATAAATAAATTACTCTGATACACTCTTCACACCTTCAAGGTAATCCAAGAGGAGTGTTTTATTTTAATTTTGCACAAACTTCATTCAATTTCTAATGAAACTTGCCAGGTTTTTCTCTCTTTTTAATGCTTGTATACTTAAAAACGAATATTCGAATCATGAATTTATATTCGAATATCAACTCATCGAATGAATACATGTATTCGAATATTCTTTGACATCCCTTGTTAAGATATGTTGTTTAATATGACTATAATGACTACTCTAAGTATTCTATACTAGGAATACCAAAGTTCTTTTATTTGGAATAAACAAAAGTAACCTGCTTTAATTTTAGGCTACTGTTACATACAAAATGAACTACTTCATAGGAGATGACAGTCGATATAACAGGGATATAGAAGGAGGGCCGTCTTTTATCAAGCAGGTATGTAGAGTATATACAGGGATAACTGTCAAGTTTGTTGGGTATGCCGGGGAGTTCAACGACATTTGGACACATACTTAAAGGGCATACCTTACTATTTTTTACAGAAACAAGGTATAAATAGACGCAGGATATTCCAGGGATTTAAGATATTTCTGCAAAAATGTCGGCACTTCAATTATTTAGTTATAATATCTAGAGGCTTAAGTTGAAACAGGGTAAAATTTCACGGGCCAGTGTAAGTTAAATTTTTTAGCATGAGAAAGAGCATAGGTTTTGTGCAGCAATTTTATTAATCTTTAGAATATTCTCCTTAATATTATTCATTTTTTATTTTGAAGTAAATAGGATATGCCCTTGCGCTGACGCATTTATTACCTTGAATGAGAAAGAACAATGACGTCATAATGTGTACTAGCTATAATATGCTGTGGGCATTAAATGAAGGAAATCAATTTGAACTTTTTCTGTATATTAAATATGCAATTTATGCATTTTTATTAGCTCATTTGCTTAGAAATCCCCATATAGCCCTAGCTCACTTGCGTAATTTACAGATGAAAGTGTAAAATTTAAATATCAAATTGTAAAATTTAAAGATCAAATTGTACAATTTACAGATTAAAGTGTTAAATTTACAGATAAAAGTGTAGAAATTTTTAAAAAGTGTCCAAGTGGCTCGTATACGCTTCTGTAGAACTTACTGAGCGTGTCTATCGAAGCGACCCGAATTTACCGGTAAGGTTGATTAAGCGGAAGTGAAAATTGTCAAGTCATACATAAAATTTCAGTCTATCGAAGCAACCCCAAAAAGCGGAAGTAAGAATTGTCAAGTCGTACATAAAATACCCGGGTCTGAAGGTAGTAAACGCGATATTTTAAGAAATATTTCACCGATTCATTTGAAAATGAAAAAGGTTTGGCCTTTCATTATACCACTTTGTATTCTGAGGTTCACAATTGGTAGTTTCAATGTTCTCTTTTTAATCTTGCCAATAAGCTCTGACGGACACAAAAACACCCAACTCCTCTCACTAACCCTTTTGCATAATGTCGATGCTATATATCCCCTCCGCAAATAGTTGTGAGAGGATCGAGATAATGAATATGTTATACTTCTCTTTACACAAGGCAACTAGAACCAAGGTCGAAAGAAGAAAACCATCTGCGAACAATGCAAGAGATAAGAAGAAAGCTGGGAGTACATCAGGATTAACTTCAATGATTGTGTTTACCTCCATCTTGATTGTATTGATAATTGCAGTTGCCATTTTAGCTGCTCTTTTCGTAAATGAGAGAACAAAAAGTACAGGTTAGATACATTTTATCTTTGCCATCCCATACCTAAACTTATGTTTGACTATAGGTCTGAGAGAGTAGAGGTTTACCTTATTTACATTCATTTATCTCAAACTAAGTGAAATTTAACACATTGTTTACTTCTTGGATTTTTTCATATATTGCCATTCAGGGACGTAGCAACGGGGTGGGGGGGGGCTGCCCCCCCTCCCACTTTTTTCCCCAACATTACCTTTACTATAGTAATTTTCATTGAAAGGATGGTTGGCCCCCCACTTTTTACCATAGTATAGTGATGTCAAGGAAATGTAGGGAAAAAATTGTTAGTGAAATTAACTTGGCTTCCAAAAGTTTGCCACCTCCCCCCCCCCCCCTCTACGAAATAAGATTTTCGAGTATGGGCAACTTTTAATTTTCGTTTTTTTTATTTGCTTGTCAACTTTTTCAGGTAAGTAAAATTTTTTTTATCTGGTTGGGCCCCCCACTTTCAAAAACGATGCTTTGTGCCTGTCATTGTATTTATTCGTGCATGTTCGCTATCAAATTACAAAAAAAATTCTTTTGTTTTCAATTACAAAAAAAGTTTTCCTGCACCTCAATTCCAACATTGTTTTGGTGAACTGTGTAAATAAAATGCCCAACCCCCGGGAGTCATGATTTGAACAATTAAGAATCTATATTACCATAGGATGCTTCCACGTAAATGTCAGCTTTTCTGGTTCTTGAGAAGAAGATTTTTAAAAGATTTTTCCTATTTATTTCTATGTAAAACTTGGATTCCCTAATGTGGCCCCGCGCAACTCCTGGGGGTCATGATTTGAACAATTTAGAATCTACACTACTTCAGGATGCTTCCATATAAGTTTCAGCGTTTCTGGCCCGTTGGTTTTTGAGAAAAAAAAATTAAAGTTTTTTTTCTATTTAAAACTTGGATTCCCTATTTCGGCCCCGCCCAACCCCCAGAGGTCAAAACTTGAATAATTTAGAATCTACACTACCCCAGAATGCTTCTACATAAGTGTCAGCTTTTCTGGCCAAGTAGAAAAGCTATTTTTTAATGTCCCCAACCTATTTTTGTCTTTTCGTGATTATCTCCTCTTGTGAGGGGACTTGGCCCTTCATTTTAACAATTTAAATGTCCCTTTACCCAAGGATGCTTTGTACCAAGATTGGTTAAAATTGGCCCCGTGTTTTCAGAGGTTATAACTTAACTAGTAATTAAAATTAAAAGGTTTCTTATAACACAGTAATTATCTTACGTGAATGACATTTAATTTTCTAATTTCACAACATTTGTTCTGTCCAACTGCGGATTTTTTCTTATTTATGCAACGATATTGGTCTTGTATGTATCCCCTCCTTCGGGGAAAAGATGACACACACATATATATATATATATATATATATATATATATATATATATATATATATATATATATATATATATATATTGCTTTGCTGCTGTTTGTCGGTCCACCAACAGTTACATGTACCAAATACATAACGGTATTTGCCTATACTTCTTGCATGCAATATACATGTAATTATACCCCGCTCCGAAGAAGTTGGGGGTATACTGTTTAACCCTTCTGTGTGTCTGTCCTTCTGTTTGTCCGTCCGTGTGTCTGTCGTCAAAGAGGGTTAAAACTATTGATTATAGTTTGTTCCCCTTTCATTTGACTCTCTTATTTCAGATAGAGTGGAGACAGCAATTTTGTGTACAACACAATGTTAGAAAACCTCTTGTGTTCATAACAATACCAATGCTGAAGCAGCCTGTATATGCAGTTCCTATAAACGACAACTCATAAATCGGCACTTAGTTGGTCGTTTTTCGCACCTGAATTACCTGTCCTTAAAACTCAACATCGTACAAGTCAATTATAAATAATTAAACTTTTTAATGATTAATTAAATTTTAATTAAAGTAATGCATACGTTATTAACTTTTTGATAATTTCGTGTAATCTATGAAATGTTTTTTACCATATGTGCAACTTGAAAAATTAGTTGAAAGGCCAACAAAATAGTGTACAATGTATATTCACATCAGGACGGGGGTTTACTAGTGATCACTAGCATAAGGACCTCTTGTTTAATTCAGATTTTTGTTTGATATATTTTGAAACTTTTTATTAAACTCGTTTTTAATTTTTGGAGAGCAAGTCACATTATGTAGGATAACTAGACTAAATAAAAGTTCTCATAAGCAGCATTATTAAAGCTTCTCATTTATTGGTCTTTTTCATTATTATTATAATATAAATAGTGTCATGGTGATAATTATAGGTTAAAAATTCACTTCTGAAAACTACGGTGTCAAGGTTATTACTAAAATCAAATAATTTGATCCGGATAAAGTCATTATTATATAGCTTGCTTTAGTAAACTATAGCTTTGTAGGTCATTCAGGTGACCTATTACTTTCTGTTTTCGCCCGTCGTCGTGCAATGTGCGTTAACATTTGAACAATATCAGCTTCCATGAAACCACTCGAACAACCAATTTTGGCATAAAGCATCTCGTATGTGTGAGTAAGAACAAAAATTGTGAATTTCTCTGTCCATGGGAAGGGTTGGGGCAAAAACCACTTAAATTAATGCAGTCTCTTAATATTTTAATTTTTCCTTCTGGACATCAAGCAGTCAAACTGTTGGCATGATTGTAATTAGTGATGAGTCCTTTATCAAAATTGTGAAATCCATGGCTTCAGGGTCGGGGGTTCTAGCGCTAGTGCGGGTTAATATAGAATTTCTAGTGAAAGTGCATTATTTGTTTGAAAATATTCTTCTTTGCTCCTGGGTAATAAACAAACAATAGTTATGATGAGGAAGTTTTTTGTGTCAGGGCGGGGATGAATGAATTATGTAGTGAAATTACAATTAATTGAAAATTGTATTCTTTGCTCCTGGGTATTTCACAAACTAACTTTATGTAGTTATGATGTTCCCAGGATCACGGTTTCTGGTGTAAAGCTGGGGCTCAATTGATTATGTCGTAAAAATGCATAACTTCTTTAAAACCTTCTTCTTTACTCCTAGGTATTGAGCAGATGAACTCCCTATATATTAGCTATGATGTGCAAGGGTCTCTCTTCCTTAATTGTAAATTTCAATGCCCCTGGATCAGAGTTGCCGGTAGGGTGGGATGAGTTTACACTGAAAATGAAATAAATATTCTGAAATCTGTTCCTTGGTATTAATTGAACAATTCTGATGAGCAAGGGTGCCTTTTCCAAAATAGTGAAATGTGTGGCCCCGGGGTCAGGGGTTCGTGTGTGATGGGGGCACTACTGATTATAACTGGATATTTAAATGTATTCTATTTGTTTTCCAACTCTGTCCATGGTTATGGCCCTAACGTGCATTTTATTTGTTCCCCTACTCTGCCTATAGTTATGCGAGCTCCCTATAGTGATCAGTTTGTCCGAGATCGTTTGTGCAGAGCTTATATTCTCTCTCCTTGGCCCAGTCTCGCCCATACATCACCCACAGAGTGCCTTTGGTTGAAGGGAGTGCAGTGATTTTGAACCATTTTTAAGTCTTAGGATAAGGTCAAAGAAGAATTATTTGAAAAATCCATGTCTGGGGCATATGTTCTTTCCCCTTGGTCCAATGTGGCTCATACTTCACTCACAAAGTACCACTGGTCAATGAATGTACAGTAACCTTAATCTACTTTCTATGCACTCTGTTCAAAATCTTTGGTGCATAATTCCTTTCTCTTAAGTCAAGTCAGCCTCAGACTTTAGCAGTTGACTTAGGGTACGGAATATTTGAGATTTTTATTTCATATTTTGATAGAGGATATGCAGCAATTTTAATAGAGGATATTTGCGATTTTTTGTGCCTTTATGAGAGAGTGTATTGAACACTCGTGATTTTCTTACAAATGTTCGTTGCTGAAAGTGGGGCCGTTTGAGATGTAGTTCAACCAAACTAAGCATACTCTGTATAGTTATAATGAGCAATGTTGACTATTTCAAAATAGAGATTGTCCTGAGCTCTTGTTTAAATACTAACCAAATTCATTTGTAGGAAAGTTTTTACATGAAGCTCAGTTGACCTGTTAAGTCTACTGGCCTCTTGTTTAGAGAAAGTTTTCGCTAATCATTTAGAGAATTATTCAGAAAAAAAAAATATTTGTTTACAGATAAAAAATCGGAGCCCTTGAATAAAAATTCATCATCAGTATCGTCCTTGACAACAAAGATTATTTCAACACCAAAAGAAAAATCAACAAAAATGACGACTACTACTGCTCAGGAAACAAAAGTAAAAACGACTCAAAAAGCAACTTCAGCTATTTCATTCACTTCACTATTCCCACTCTCAATCATGTCATCAAAAACAAGTACAGACCTCCTGCAACCAACAACAGCCACATCAAGCATCCTAAAAGGGACAACAACAGGGGAATTTCACAAATCACCGCAAACATCGATACCTGAGACAACATCGACCGAAATATCGATGCCAATTACAACACCGACATTAAAATCGTCAACAAAAGCCGCTCCTACTAAAATTCTTACGAAAAGCACAACACTTTCATCAAACGAACCGGATAAAGCATCGTCAGTGTATTCAACAACAAAATTTGAAATGACCTCCATCACACCTAAAATGATTTCAACGGAAGTAGCAGCCGATGATGTAACATCGCCCTTAACATCAGAAGCTGTATCAAATATGTCAGAAATAACCACTAAAGTAGAAACAGCAATTTCAACGACAAATGGAATTGGAAAAACATCATTATCGGCATCATCAATCGGGGAGACTACAGCAGATCAAACTTCATATTCTTTAGAAGCAGAAGGTAGTTTTTTTTACACTATATATCACTTATTTAAAAATCCTCAATACTGGTGGCCATGGAAAACAAGATTTCCACTCAAGCTTGGAAGTTGCCCCTCGCGCATCATGCCATTGGAAAAAAAACAGAAAACGTACTTTTAAACCACCCTTTTTTCTGATAAAATTAAACTCACGCAGGCTTTTTTCTTTTTGTTTGTTTTTCTGTTATCCCATTGTTTAAGTTTTATAAGGTGCTTACACCGCCTATACCCGATTTTGCGGGTACTCTAATATTAGGTGTTTACCCCATTTCACGGATAATACCCTATTTCGAGCTCCGAAAACTTTTTAAACTCGCATGGTTCTTCGCAAATTAAAGTCACATTTGATATAATGCAAAAGTCTGTATAGAGGTAACAAAATATATTTAATTAATGATTTATAACTTAATTTGAACTTATTTAACAAATTACAAACATAATTTACACTTTATGCCTGTAGGATTTTGATAAGCTCTTGGTTGATAGATTATGATACTTCCCACATGGTTTTTCATGGTTTGTCGTCAAATAGAGTCCTCTATATATCCGTTCCTTTTCAAGTAGTCCCTTGCCTTGCATAGACACAAAAACAGTGCAGCCCATGTCCATTCTTTGTTTTCTGTACAATAACATTATCCTAAAGCGCAAGATGATAACAAATTTTTATCTGTTTGACTGCGTTCAGTTTTATTAAGCTCGTATTATTTTTAAGGTCACTTTCTAAAATACGAGGGTTGTTCGGAAATTATTGAGACAATCACATTTACTCCATAAAGGACAGAGCTACTTTCATGAAAATTCATCGACATTTTATAAAGAATGAATAAAGCACTTATGCAAAATTTCGAATTCCTATGATAATAAGAAAAGTTTTGGTGAAATGATAAACATGCATATGTCTAATGACCCGGAGCAGCATCACTACGTCATTTAACGTCACTTCAGCCGAAGATGGTTTTGCATGAAAAAATGATCGGGAAGCGTTTATATATACAATACTTTTCCTTCTGTCACAACTGACCTCAAGTTGTGATGGATTCGTTAAATCAGAATTTACAAACCAAAATAAATAATATTTTGTAAGACCTCCTGTATACCAAGAAACAACAAGATTTATAAAAATTAACAATAAATTTATCTACATATGTACAATAAATATGAAAACGGCCAAAAGTTCAATCATGGTCATCACTGGACAGATTCACACTTCACACCACGTGCATGGTCCACCATAGTGTTCCGTCCGGTCCACCATATCCTAAAAGAGTCCTCACCATGTACACCAATCCTCCCGTCCAGAACAAAAGCTTAATATACAATTTTGGTCACCTACAATTTTCATAGGGTTTTCTAATAAAATGTTCGAAACACATATCTGTTCAATATACTAGATTTTACAAACAAATAACGAAAGAAAACATGTATTTGCCGTTTAACAAGTAAATGAATTAGAGCGTAAATATCTATATTCTCGCTATATTGCTTACAGTTTTACATAGAAAATTGCTCTTTAAAGCTAACAACAAAAATATTGTAAAGTATAAAAACTTACTGAGCTGTGGCATTTTATACATAAAAACCATACTGTCGGCCCCCAGGTCTTGCTCTCAACGCCGCTACAAAACATCCCTGAATCCCAAGATCACACAGCAGGGGAAACAGCTAAAACACACCCAAGTTCACACAGCATGGGTTACATAAAAGCACACCCAAGATCACTAAGCATGGGTAAAGTATAACTCACGGCGTCCAGACCTCATCTGACACACACTAGCCAACACCCAGTATAAATAACTGACCAAACTACTCAAACGGGTTCGACGAGTATACGTTGATAAAAATAGAACAAATACAACTCAGTGACCAATAGTGCGTAAATGAAATAAACGATAACTCCTAATGCCAAAATAAAGATAACTCTTACCAAATCCTGTACAATAAGTTAATATTAAACACTGACACAATGTCACTTGTGACAATACCTCCCTTCTTAAGACACAAAATGCAATTTTGTGACATAAATGAAAAACTATGTACACAACAAAGTCTTTATGAACAAGAACTTACTCAGGAACAACACGACTGAGAAAATCAGCTCCAATGTTATCTACACCTCTAATAACTTCAGTTCTAAAGTTGAACGCTTGTAGAAAAAGAGACCATCTCATCAATCTGCTGTTTGAAACTTTAGTCTTTTGTAAATGAAGTAGTGGTCTATGATCTGTCTCCACAACAAACGCTCTTCCATACAAGTAAGACTGAAATTTCTGTATAGCCCATACGACTGCAAGACACTCTTTCTCCACAACCGAATAACGTTGTTCTCTGTCAAGCAGCTTCCGGCTTGCATACACAGCTGGAAATGTACGTCCATCATGCTTCTGCATCAGCACTGTACCAACTCCATGATTAGATGCATCAGTTCTTAAGATGAATGGCTTCGTCAAATCTGGTAATCTGAGAATTGGGCTGTATAGCAACATGGATTTTAAACTCTTAAATGAATTATCATGTTCTTGTTTCCAGTCAAATTTGTTTGGAACACCTTTCTTGGTTAAGTCAGTTAAAGGAGCAGCAATAGTGGAAAAGTTTGGCACAAATTTTCTATAATAGCCAATCAAACCAAGGAAAGATCTAACCTGCTTCTTTGTCTCTGGCCTTGGTGCTTCTTGGATAGCTCTTAACTTCTTGTTGGTTGGCTGTAAGGTTCCTCCTCCAATAACATATTCCAAGTGAGATCTCGCGAAAGTTGACCAATATTCATTCAGTTTGAACCGGAAAGCCGAGCAAGGTAGACGTGTTTGAGTGGCTGAGTGACCGGTCATACGATACGACTTTCCTTGTTATTTCTCCTAGCCCAGCTGTTTCGACATTACCGTCATCTATCTAGAAGTAAGTGTTTTGTTGTTTATTTATTTATGTGTGCATGTTCTCGGGTTTATTTTTGTCTTTGATTCATTGCTCGAGGTTTTACGCGCCAAATTTTGTTCATGCACACATTTCTCGAGTCGCGGAGTATGTATATACTTGTGGTGCTATACAAGTTTACTTGTATTTGGTTTGTGCCACGTGTGTTTTTAGATTTTATTGGTGTTATACAAGCTTGTCTTGTATTTTGGTTACACCTTTATGTGATTTTGAGATTTGGTGTTATACAAGTTTTCTTGTATTTGGTTGAACATTTAATATTTAAGGGTGTTATACAAGATTGTCTTGTATTTTGGTTACACCTTTTTGTAATTTTAAGAGAAGTGGTGTTATACAAGTTTTTCTTGTATCTGGTTGTACACCACTGTTTATTAAGGGTGTTATACAAGATTGTCTTGTATTTTGGTTACATCTGTATGTGATTTTAGAGTTATGGTGTTATACAAGTTTTTCTTGTATTTGGTTGTACACCACTGTTTATTAAGGGTGTTATACAAGCTTGTCTTGTATTTTTGGTTACACCTTTATATGATTTTAGAGTTATGGTGTTATACAAGTTTTCTTGTATTTTGGTTGCACACCACTGTTCAGTTAATGGTATTACACAAGTTTCTGTCTTGTATTTGGTTTACTCTAATATGCAGTATTTTAGAGTTGTGGTGCTGTGCATGTTTTTGTTGTACAGTATTTGATGGAAAGTAGTTAGATATTTATAGGCACTATGCAAGTTTGTTTTGGATATATAAGAATTTATATTTAAATGTGGTGTTATATAGGGATATACTTCGGTGTTATGGTGCACCACTTTGGTTTTAATATTTTAAGTGTGGTTATACAATGCTTCTTGAGCGTTTGTTACACTTTTGTGACATTTTGAGAGCTGTAGTTTTTTTGAATTAGTATACATATTTTACTAGTATTTTGTATTCTGGAATGTGCACTAAATGTATGTGGAAGGTACAAGATTTGGAGTTAGGCATGCTTGGCATAGTTACATATTTTGTGTACGCCTTTTTATGATAATGGGATGTAATTAAAATCTTGTTTCATTTTAAGGATATATTAAGATGATAATATATTTTGATCCATTTGGTTCAGTTTTTTGCTGTGTACAGGATTTACATTGAGTTTGTTTATAATTTGAGCATTTTTGGTTTGTAGATATTTTATTTTTTGTTTTATAATGTGGAGTTTAACTTAACATTAAACTACATTATATATCTATTTACTAGATGTCTATAGTTCTGAAGCAGAGGCACTCACTGTTGGGCAAGAACTTGCTACCCTTAGCATTGAGGTTAAAGGATTTGGCCACAGATATTCAGGACGAGAGGGAATTGGCAAGATTGAAGAAGGAACATCCCCTCACTAGATATTCCTTAGAGGAGTTGGAGACTGAATTCAAAAGCCTTACAGGGGAGGAAGCGAAGGAGGTGTTGAGTCTAGTTGGAAAGCAAAGGGATATCGATAACGTTCGTCTCCTGGTGCATGTTGCTATCTGCATGGCAAATGATGTTGGGGCCCCTAAGTCAACCCCAATTGCTAGGTCATCTATTTTGGTGGAACCTGGTTCACGTCCCTCGACGTCTCAGTCTGTAGAATCTCGGGAGGGAGATGTGTCTAAAGAGTCAAAGGATGGAGGTAAGGGCTATTTAAGGCTTAGTGATATGAGTATATGAGTGGACATGTAAGTTCAAGTTTTTAATGGTGGTTTTATATTGTAGAGAAGAAAAAGGATGACATTGAGATGAGACTGGAAAAAATGGAGTCTGCCATGAAAGAAGTGACGGGGAATACAGATAAAGAGGTGAACCTGGCATTAAAGAACATTTCTATTTTGGCTAGCAGACCTAAGTTGACGGCTCCTGCAGTTATGTTAGCTGCGGTTGAATCATTAGTAGATATCGCAATTTCATCTGGGCATAAAGAGGCTGATTTTTATGCGAAGGCTTTGCAAACTTGTAGGAAATTTGAAAATAATCCTGATATTTTCGGTTTGTGTCAACGTTTGTTTGGAACAGCAGATGATAAGAAAATTTCATCTGTTGTGGCAGAATGGTCTAAGAATAAAAAGTATTTAGACGAGAATAAAGAGTCAAAGGAAAATGTAAATTCAATGTCTTCTGCAGGTTTCGCAGGTCCTCAGGGGTCTAATTTTGTACCCGGTAGTCCAAATTTTCCGTTTTGGCAATCTCCTATGGGAGCTTGGCAAGGTATGCCTATGTATGGGCCAATGCCGGCTAGGTTTCCTAGACACAGATCTTATGTTGGAGGTGCATGTTATTATTGTAAACGCCCAGGCCATATGGTGGCCAAGTGCCCAAAGTTGATGAAAGAAAAGGATAAGTAGGCCTTGTGTAAAATGAAACATGAAAATTTGATATTAGCATGTTAAAAATTTTTTGTATGTCACTGTTGAATCGTCAATAAACCTGATAAGTATGTATTTGGCTTCACATTTTTAGTAATTTCAACCATCATCCCAAAGGACTCTGATGCCTTAGTGATTATTTCACGCGGGTTGAGGGTTGAATTACCTCTCCTATTATTTTACTTTCAGATAAAACGCCAAAAATTTTGTCCAGTTGTTCCAAAATGGGAATTGAAAGCAGGTCTTTTAGCGGATTATGAAGACACATGTATGGTATATAAGAGAAATACATGTGCAAGATTTGTAAACTTAAACGGAGAGGTAATTCACCCCTCATCCCGTGTCATTGTTTCTGCAGAAAACGTAGTTAATAACAATATATCTGTGGGTATGTCTGATTTGCCTTTAAGGGACCCAGGTACTTTTGTCCCAGGAGGCATTCATGATAATTTGGAAGAGTGGGAAAAATTAGATATTTGTGGTGAAATGCGGGATTGGTTAAAAAATGGAGTTGATGTTCAAAAATTTTTTAAACCTTTTAAAGGTAATTTTAAAGGGAAATCGTATAATTCAGACAAGCCCCCTATGATGTATATACAAAATTCTGCTGCTTGTGAAAAATTTCAGGAATTTATTGTATCAGAATTAACAGCTAGGTTGAGAAATGGGTCTTTACAATTGCTTGGTAAAATTGGGGAGGTGGATCCTCCACATTTGGTTATGCCCCTTACTATTGAACCCAGTAAACCTAGGTTATGTCATGATGATAGATTTCTTAACTTGTGGATAAGGGATTGTCCTTTCAGTTTAGAAACATTACGAGATGTTCCAAGACTAATCCCAAAAGATGGTTACATGACATCCATTGATGATAAGTCTGGCTATGATCATGTGTTGTTAAGTGAGAATTCTAGAACTTATTTTGGCATTCAGTTTGGGGGATATTACATGGTGTACAGAACGCTTCCATTTGGTTTTAATAGCAGTGCTTATATTTATCATTCTTTAGGAATGATTGCAACAGGATATTGTAGGCAGTTGGGTGTTCCAATTTCACAGTACATAGATGACAGGTTGATAGGTGAGTTAGAAACTTCTTATTATGATAGGAATCAAGGTTATAGGAAGGCTGAGCTTGCTCTGTATGTTGTTTGTCAAGTTTTTACAAGACTAGGATATACCTTTGGTTTGAAGAAATGTATTTTTTATCCAGTTCAGTGTCTTAAGCACTTGGGATTTATGGTTGATTCCATAAAACAGGCATTTATTTTACCTAAGGATAAAATCAAGAAATTTTCAGAGTTGAGGGAGTATTTGTTATCGTGTACGGAACTTGAGGTTAGAAGTTTACAAAGATTTGCAGGAAAGTGTATTTCTTTCTCTTTGGCTATCCCAGCTGCAAAGTTGTACACTATTGAGGTCAATAGATCAATTAGTTGGTGTTTAAGAAATAGTAAGAAAGTGATTATGGACGATTTTTTAAGGTGCGAGTTGGAACATTGGCGGTTTATTGATTCTTGGGAAGGTTTTGTGTCTTGGAGAGAGGAGAGGCATCTTCAGTTACCCCTGTTCACTGACTCCTCTAGGTTTAAGTGGGGTGCAATGGTTATGTTGCAGGGGAAAAAAGTTGAGATGAGTGATTTCTGGTCTGTGGATGACTCGAGGCCTATTCACTTGAAAGAGGCGTCTGCTCTTTATTGTGCTATTGTTGCTGTCCAAGACACACTGAAAAATCATAGGGTAGATGCTTATGTCGACAACACAGCTCTCGTTAGGGTATGGGAAAATCAGGGTAGAAAGGACATTAGTTTGAATAGAATAGTGAAAGATTTGTATCAGGTCACCTTTATCAACAATATTGATTTGAAATTGCATTATATTCCATCAAAATGTAACCCAGCTGATGCCCCATCTAGAAAACTTGCATTCTTAGACTGTATGCTTACTAAAAAGGTGTGGGAGGTTGTTCAAGAGAAATTTGGCCCCCATTCAGTTGACTTAATGTCCTTAGATTCAAATGTGATGAAAGATGAATTTGGGAAACCACTTAAACATTTCACACCTTATCCTACACCCTTTTCAGCAGGAGTGAATGTTTTTTCTCAGAGGTTAGAAAATGAAAAGAACCCGTATGTTTTTCCACCATTTGGACTCATTTTCCCATTGTTGAAATTTTTGAAGTCCTCTGGGGTTAGGGTATGTACTTTGGTAGTTCCTTTAACATCTCCAAAACCTATATGGTGGCCATTTTTATTATCTTGTAGGCATGACAGTGTAGTGTTGGGTAGAAGAGGTGATAAAAATGTTTTGTTGGTACCATCAAAACAAGGTTTTATTCCAGATACAAAAGGTCTTGTATGGGATTTCGAGACTTTCATTTTAATTGTTTTATTTTATAGATCTTGACAATTGGAGATTCTCAGAGAAATAATTGGCAGATTTCTGAAATGGATAGAAGATTCAGGTATCTGAATTCATTAGTGGATGATACTAAATACGGGAAACAAAAATCTTCTTTAGAAAAGGAGTTTGGAAATTTTTTAAGTGAATTATCTGACATTAAAATGCTGGATTCATCACCAGAAGATATTTGTAGATTCCTAATATATAAAGATAAGGGAGGGAAGACAAAAGTGCATGAAATAAATTGCAGCTTTGTGGGTGAAAAGTTTGGTGAGTGTGGATGCCCTTGTAGGTTATCGGCAGGTAGTGTTCAGTCTATTTTGGGTAAATTGTCAAAATTATTCGAAGCGTATGGTAGGGGTAAGCAGTGGGACCCAAAATCTTCTTCTGGTAATCCTGTTGGTAGTTTACAAGTTCAAAAGTATGTGAAAGCTATTCAGAAAGAACAAGCTCAATCTCATGTTAGGGTTAAGCAAGCAAAGCCTATTTTTATTGGGAAGTTAAGGAAAATTGTTATGTACATTGAGGAACAGTTGAAGTTAGCAAGTGCAAATGTAGATAAGTTTGTATTTCTTAGGGATAAGGCATTCTTCTTACTTCAGTTCTTTGCAGGTGACGGGCAAATGACTTGGGTCAGGTCCTTATTCAGGAAATAAAAGCTTTATCGGGTAATGCAGGACTTTTATTTTGCCACACAGTAGGGAAAACTTTGAGTAATGGGAGAGATAATATTTTCGCAGTTCAAAGAGTTGAGGATCTGTTGATTTGTCCAGTTCATGCAGTTGAAGCTTATGTCTGTGCTGCAGAGCTTATGGGGTTAAACATGAGTGCAGGGTATTTATTCAGACCATTGGGAAAGAATAGGTTGTCAGTTTTGGATTGTTGTTTGTCATATTCAGTTGTATATGAAAGATTGAAGTTCTATTTACAAAAATTGAATATTGATGAAGGAGAAACCCCCCACAGCTTGAGAAGAGGTTGTGCAGTGACCCTTTCACTTTCTGGTTCAGCGGAGGTTGAGAAAAGCATTATGGGTCACATAGGATGGTTTTCTAGCCGAAGTCTGGATTAGATATAGTGAAATGAGGAATTTGGTTGATGTAGGTTCTGTTTCCAATTTATTTGCACAAGTACCAAGTATTCAAGGAATAGAAAATGTTTATAAAAGTTGTGGTGATTATGAAACACTCCCTAAAGCATTTAGTTGAAAATATATGTGAAGAACAGTACTATGGGTTATATCTCCCCAGCTATTAAACATTATGAATTGCAGTTTTTTGTTCCAATATGCAAATTCAAAGAGATTGTAAATGTGGAATTGTACAGTGTAACAAACTTACAATGATTTGTTTTGATATGATTTGAAATAAAGATAATGCATTTAATTCAATTTGTAGTTTTCATTTTAAAATATTTACAGGGTTGGGTAAGGATTGGGAAATTAAGTGGTTTATTGAGTATTGGGAAAGGGACCACTTAATTGGTGAGTTTATTGTTCTAGATCTGTTAAGCTATATGGGTTTGTTCCATAATACACTGATTCTTCCCAATCCTTACAAACCCATGGTCAACTGAGTGAGATGTCATTTGGAATAAATTTATATTCCAAGTGAGATCTCGCGAGAGTTGACCAATATTCATTCAGTTCGAACCGGAAAGGAGGGTGTGGTTGATGATGATTTGAATGGCAAATTACAAGTTTAACTGTTATTGTGTGTCCGGACTTTGCAACATTGGTGTTTTTTGAAAAAAAAAAAAAAAATAAAAATAATAGTGAAATGAATCTTATTCATTTGTTCCATGGGCATACACTGATTCTTCCGAATCCTTACAAACCCATGGTCAACTGAGTGAGATGTCATTTGGAATAAATTTATGACCCAAGTACTCGAGTTTCGTCTGCGCTATCTCACATTTGGATGGTTTTGCTGTTAATTGCGCTCTCTGAAGTCTCTCCAGCACTTTTCTCAGTTCTGTAATATGTTCTTCAAAAGTTTCTGTATGAACGAGAATGTCATCAACAAAACTATCAGTATGCTCTAAACCTTTGAGAATTTTCCTCATTAGCCTGTTAAAAGTAGCTGGGCTATTCTTCATACCGAAGGGCATTACTTTAAATCTGTACAAACCATCTGGTGTTAAAAATGATGTTAAATCTCTGTCTTCTTCTCTCATCGGGATCTGCCAATAACCCTTACGTAAATCAAGTTAGAAAAGAAACGACTATTGCTTATTTTAGTCATGATTTCATCTGGATCTGGCATTGGTTCTGGATCAAAAATCGTTACCTTATTCAAGTTACGAAAATCCACACATATTCTCTGGCTACCATCGGACTTCTTTGCCACGACAATCGAACTAGCATACGGTGATTCTGATGGTTCGATGATATCCATGTCAATCATATGCTGTATTTCTTCTCGGACTGCACTTCTGACTGCATACGGTATCTGGTATGGTCTGTTTCTGATTGGTTCTTTGGTAGTGAGATGAACTTCATGCTGGATAACATTCGTTCTACCAGGTAGATCTGTTAAAACTTCCTGAAATTCATGTAAAACATCATTTATGTTTTCAAGCTGATCTGATGACAGTGAATCATTTACCTTAACATCTGTGAATGATTCTGTTGCCTTCATTGGAAGAAGATGTAACAAATGTTCATTACTTGAGTCCTCTATTTCTTCCGATTCCAAAACAACACAAGATGCTAGAGTTGTTGGCGAGTCTGTATTCCTTTCCTCTCGAACATTGTATTTCTTCAATAAATTTGCATGAAACAAACGAATATGTCCATTCATATCTATCTGGTAATCAGT